ATTCTCTCTAGTTTGCTTTCATCTGTTTTATTCATTTACTTTTATTTTTTGGATCATACCTGGCGGTGCTTAGAGCTTATTTCTGGCTCTGAGTTCAGTGATCACTCCTGGAAGGGTTGGAGGTGCTGGGGGAATGAACCTAGGTGGGCTGTGTGCAAGGCAAGTGCCCTAGTCACTACACGATCTCTCTAGACCCACTTCCATCCCTTTTTTTTTTAGCTTTGTCAGACCTGGTGATTCTAAGGGATTACTCCTGGCTTTGCACTCAGGAATTGGTGGGGACCATATAGGGTGCTGGGGATGGAACCGGTAGGCTGCATGCAAGGCAAATACCCTACCCATTGTATTATTCCTCTAGTCTACTTCTATCCCTTTTAGTCTTGAATTTGGTGTGCTGGCCAATGCTTTATCCCCAAAATGAAAGAAAGACATTTCTTTGTCCTTCTGATGGGATTTCTAACATAATTAAAACGGGTCTGTGATCACCATGGAAGCCAGCTACAGGATTCAGGAAATTGTAAGCAGGTGAAATGCTGGCATGGAGGTAAACACACGAGTAGGGAAAAGTTCTAGAGTCAGGGGAAGGATGTGCTAAGGGCACAGCAGCCTTGCCTCTCAGATCTCTGGAGCTGGCTGTCTGCGTTTGTGAATCTAAGGTTGGACTGTGCTATCGTTTTAATGTTTTATATCCCTTTCCCTCATCCCATCCTTCCCCTTTCAGTTCAAGGCCCCAGAAAAGGGCCTGGGAGTCGATCTATTCAGAGGAAGAGTCCTCTTTTTCTGGGCTCTCAGGACTGTTTCATGGGGGGTAGCTTTGCAGAGGCCACTTTCACGTTAAGAAGGAGTATCACGAGTACAACTATAGTTGATGTTTTTATGGTCTATGAAACTTTTACTTCAGAAACCTTCGGGTTGGAGCCAGCTGATTCTGAAGACACATTTTTTTTTCTCCTTGGGCCACGCCCAGCAATGTTCAGGGGTGGCTCTGCATTCAGGAATTACTGCTGGCAGTGCTTGGGGGGGGGGGCATTTGGGATGCTGGGGATAGAACCTAGGTCAGCCGTGTGCAAGGTAAGCACCTGACTCACTGTACAATTTGCTCCAGACCTCTACTTTTTGTTGCCATTTGTTTTTTTTGGTTTTCTTTTGTTTGGGCTACATCTAGTGATGCGTAAGGGCTACTCCCAACTCAGTGCTCAGGGTTTGCTGCTGGTGAGGCTCAGGAAACATGCAATACTGGGTATCAAACTTGGGCATGCTGCATACAAAACATGTGCTCCAACCGTTTGATTGATCTCCTGTCCTGTTGCTAAATTTAAAGCAAACGAACAAAGCTGTTCACAGCTTCGCCTTAGTTTTGAATTTATCTTTCAAAGTCTGCTGTGATTGAATCTGACTGAAATGATATTAATCAAATACAGATAATAATACCCAACATTTACTAATGTGAAAAATTATTTAATATATTCATTACTTATTTTTAGAAATACTCATCATAGAGCACATCTATTCAGTATATTGAAGAAAACTCGCTTTCTCTGACATAAAAGCATTAATAAGTAGCATTAAAAAAAGTCAGATTCAGGGACCTGAGTCATGACAGAAATACCAAGAATAGTACAGTGGGCAGGGTGCTTGCCTTGCATGTGGCTGACTGGGTTCGATTCCCACATGGTCCTTTGAGCACTGCTGTCATTCTTGAATGCAGAGCACCGCCAGGTGTGGGCCCCAAACAAAACAAAAACAAAACAGGAAGTGCCTGTTGAGGCATGTGTGAGACCAGGTGGGTGCCGAGCACCACCCTACATTAACTACGTGGTGCTGTTGGGCATGTGGCCTTGACTTTTGGATCCGTGAGCCACTACAAGCGTGCACTTTCTGTACATCGCAGAAACAGTGATGGGAGGTCCACAAAAATGTCTATGTGAGAGTTTTGTAGATGGCCAAGGAGGCACCCATGGCAATGATCAATGACCAACAGTGACGGACACATTTTGTACCCCTGAGACAGATTCAGCTCTTTCTTTTTCTGTAGGGGTACGTTATCCCCCGCGCCCCTTTGTTTTGGGGCCACCCTTGGCGGTGCTCAGGAGCGACCTCTGCCGGTGCTTAGGAAAACCTCATGCAAGGCAAGCACCTTAGCCCTGGTACCATCTGCCAGGCCCCATTACACTTTTTAATTGAGGAGCAAACATAAAAATGCGGTGATTTGTTGCTGAGGAGAACAGTGCTAACAAAGTCACCCAAGCTGAGAGTTCTAGACGGGAAAGTGATCCCGTCAAGATTTGGGGGCCCGTGTACAGAGCGTGATTGCACGGCCGCTCGGAGGTCAACCCAGGTGTCCTTCGAATATCCCCAAACCTGCGTTTCCAAACCTGGTGAGAAAGGATATTAGCTCATTAGCTTTCTGTGTAATCTGTGCCTCTTCCTCTCTCCATTCTGGACACGGGAGGGTTTTAATATCCAGTATGACATTCTGCTAGATGAAGGGAGGGGGCAGTCCCCCAGGGCAAGCTGAACTTCTGCTTGGTATATTTACTCTTGCTGCTTTCCTTCCTCCTCATTTGTATTTCAGGAGGCTCTCTGGGAAGAGCGAGGCAGCCAGGCTTAGATGGATCAAAGGACCGCGAGCTGGGATACCAGGGTCTATCAGAAGGTCTGGTATTGACTTTGCTGTTACCTCTCGGCAAATCGCGGGTTTGCTCTGGGCTTGGGTTTCTTCCTGGGCTGGTTAAGTGGACCTAACCCCTATGTTGGGGATTTGCCGGTGATTAGGTTTTTTTTTTAAAAAATGTGCGAGCCATTTTTTCCCCCGCCAGTTTGGAGTTAAGATATGAAGTGGGACACCAGGCTGCCCGCCAGTCACCTGAATCCAGGGTCTTAAGACGGCAGAGACCCTCCACTTGGTTTTTTGTTTGGGCTCTGGCTTCTGCTTTGTGCCTCCCCCCCCCCCCCCCCCCCCCCCGCCCCCTTGCAGTGCATGAGGCTTCCTCCATGGAGGGGGGGGCATGCCTCTCTCTCGCCTTTGTCTTCAGAAATAGGAGTATTTTTTTTCATGTATTCTTGGCTGCTTGCACTCTTGCTTCCAGTCCACTCCAGACAGACCAAAGGCTTCCTTTGGCACACGGCTGCTTTCTCACTGACCCTGCTCCTGGGAGGCACGGGTGAGAAGTGACCTCACAAAGTGATCTGGACTTGCTCCTGCAATTCTCATGCGTGGAGGGCCACTTCAGTTTTGAGCTGGATTTAGTGAAGGGCTAGCTAGGTGGGGCTTTTGGCAGGAAGCTGGCAGGGAGTGCAACGACAAAGCACCTCCCTCCTCCCTGCCCCACTATGCATGCATGCATTCATTCATTTGCCTCATATTATTTGGGGGAGGGGCTCTCCCAGTGAAGTCCATCCTCCCGCATCCCCCCTTAATTTTTGTTTCTGTTACAGCTTTTGCAACTTGAGGCAGTAAGAGGAACTTGTCTGAGAGTCTTAGGTTGATTGAAATGTGGGTAAGGGGGGGTAGGGAGACAGCTCACTGAGAGAGGTGATCGCGGATGCAAGGGCCCCAGTGCCATCCTGGGCACTGCATGCCTCCCGGGCCTCAGCACTTCCAAGAGGTAGCCCTGATGGTCTCCTGAGCATGGTTGAAGTGGCTGGGGTGGCTTCCAGCACCATCCTCGGTGCAGGATCTCCAATTGAACCTGGGGGCCAACAGAGAACACGGTCCCACACCCCACACCAGGGTCTCGAAAGGGGAAGGGAGGCGTGAATAAGGAACAATTTTGTACCTTGTCAATGAGTCTCTACCCCATTTTCATAAACGGACTTCTCTGGCACCAAGTACAGTAAGGAATCGAGGGAAAGGTCTGTTTCTTCCGTTTGGAACAAAAGTAAGTCAACACCATTATCCCCAAGGGCCGTAAAATAGCGATGCATTTTCTCTGCCCACCCCAGCCTGGTGTTCAAAACTAGAGGACCCAGGGCCCCTCTGGCCCTCGGTTGCCACTCGGGTCGCAGCAGGAAGAGCTGCAGACACAGAACACCGTGTGGCCCTTCAGTTTGGAAACACTTGCAAGGTCTCCCGGAGCTATAAATGATCAAAGAAACATCCGGGTGAAGCCCGCTCCCGGGCGTGCAGTCGCTCTCAGGGGCTGCTTCCAACTTCCCATGGGGGGTGGGGGGGAGGTCGAGGAAACAGCAGGCGGGGCCTCTAACTCGGGCGGGGGGGGGGGCGGCGGAGGGGGTGTTCTTGGCCGGGGTCATGGATACACGCAAACAGGTCTTGCAGACACCACAGCAGCTGCAGCGCCTTCCGACTGGAGGATGAGCTTGTTTTTGTTCGTTTGCAGAGCAGACTTCCAGCCGGCAACTCAGCCGGGCTCGGGGGGCGCGGCGGAGAAGGAAGGGAGGAGTTGGTGGTCTCCTTTCAATCCCCCCGCCCAAGTCCGTGTGCTTTGCAAAGCAGGGCGGAGGGAGGCCCTGGGAGCCGGGCTCTGGCTCGAGTGCTCTAAGCGGGGCAGGAAACCACGCGGCCGAGACAGGCTCGGCGGTGTCCACCTCCCGCTCGGCGGGCTTTGGTGGGGGTAAAAAAAATGAATAAAATCCAGAGTAAGTGTCCCCGCGAACCCCGCCGGGTTAATTTGCACAACCAGGTGAAGGCCCGGAGGCGGCTGGGGAGGAGGAGGAGGGTGGGAAAAGGAAGAATGAACCGCGGAAGCCCCCAGAGCCCCTGCCAGGGCCACCTGGCAGGGCTCGGAAGGCCGCAGGGACACCCCCGGGACGCCCTGGCCCCGCGCGGCCCCGCAGGCGGCCGGGGACGCGCCCTGGGCGGCTGCGCGCTCCCTTTGTCCCGCCTCCCGGCGCGCGTCCGAGGCACCGGGCTGCGCGCGCCCCCCGCCGCCCGCGCGCCCCCGGCCGCGTCGGAAAGGGCTCCGGGTGGAAACCGGCGCCCGCGGCGGCGGCGTTCCGCGCGCGGCACGGCCGGGGAGGCGGGAGGGCCGCGCGCCGCCCGCCCGCTCCTCCCCACCCCCGCGCGGGCGCTGCAGGGGCTGCACGGGCGGGCCGGGCGCGATGGCTCGAGCCCGGGCGGCGGCGGCGGCGGCGGGCGGCGGCGGCGCCGCCTCGTGCTCGGCCCGGCGCCGGCGGTGATCGCAGCGAGCGGCCGCGGCGGCCCCCGATGAGACTGTGGGTGGCGTGGCTGTGCCTGAGCCTGGCGTCCGCGTGGCTGGCGCGGAGGATGTGGACGCTGCGGAGCCCGCTCGGCCGTTCCCTGCACGTGAACATGACGAGCGGCCCCGGCGGCCGGAGGGAGACCCACCAGGTACGCGGCGCGGGCCCGGCGGGGGCGTGGCGGCGCGGCCTGGACCCCGCGCCCGGCCCGGCCATTGTGCGGCGCGGCCCGGCCCCGCGCGAACTTTTCCCCGCGCCTCGGGCCGGCGCCCCCCGCGGCCCCTTTTGTTCCAGGGCGCGCGGGCCGAGGACGCTCCCCCCTCCCCGTCCGCCGCGGGCCCGAGCGTGGGCGCCCCGCAGCCCCGCATTGTTCCCGGGCCCCCCCCCCGCGCGGGGGCGGCCGGCGGCGGCGGGACCCCGAGAAGTTGGGGCGTTCGCCGGGCGGACCGGCACGTCGCCAGCCCCCTCGGGCCCGGGCGGCGGGACCCCCCCGAGGATCGGCACGGATAGGCAGCCCCTTCTCCCTTTATTTATTTATTTATTTATTTATTTGGGGGGGGGGCACGTCTGGTTGAGCCTCCCGAGCAGACAAAAAGGCCGTCCAGACCTGGAAGCGCGCGACTCTTCTCCTCGGCCCCTCCAAAAAAGGTGTTTGACAGGTCCCCCTCGCCCCCGGACTCTGTCCCCGGCTCCGCCACCTCACCCCCCACCCCCAGACGACCCCACTGTAAACTTGGATGTCGGGCCCCGATCTGCGGGATGCGATAGGAAGGTGGAGCGAGCTCCCAGCGGAAGGGTTTTGGGGGGCGTGTGTGTGTTTAAAGAACTGCTGGTCAACAGTGGCTTCTTTGCAGTGGTCGCTGTGGCTCGGGAAGGGTGATGTCACCGCTTAGGTAGTCTCAGGAGCTCAGTTTGGTGCCACTTCTAGAAGTCCGTGCAGGTTGGCCCGAGAAGGGAGAGGGAGCTTTGCTCCAACTTGCAAGGAGGAGGCAATCGGTGCGAGACCTCGCGCGCGCGCGCCCACCACGTACTGCACACAGACCCTATTGTACCAGCCGCAGACGCGTCCCTAAGCCCTAACCGGATGCAGCGTTCCCCTCCCGAGCAGGAAAAAGAAACTCTGTTACCTGGCTGACCACGAATCAGAACCTCGTGCTTACATTTACAACAATGTTTCATGTTTAGGGTCTGATTCCTGAGCGTCGAGTCAGGCGTAACCCTCCGAACGTCTCCGGGTGTGGCCCCCCAAAGCAAAAAACCAACCCCTTCCCCCCAAAAAAACCCCTGGAGCTCTTTCCGATTTGAGTGGAATGTCTTTTGCACGCTCACCTTGACACTGCAGAGGGCTTCTGCCCCTGCCAGAGGGTTGGTTTGAAATCACATTCTGTCTTTTCCTACAACAGGAACTGCTCCCCATCTTGTCTTTCATTATTTTCCTGGATTTCTCGTTTTGCTCTGTGACTTGTCTCAGTATGGCAGCTGCTCCGAGTGGACACCCAGGTGCAGAGCAGGTGTTTTCCTGAAAGTGAAAAATTGCCTGAGATAGAGCATTCTATTCCGAAATGTGGTTGTTTATGATTCAGTGGCAATTTATGGTGGATCTTTTTCTGTTCTCAAAGAGAGTAAGAAATCTCAGGGTAAATCCGCAGGGGTTGAATATGGGAGGTAGTCTCTTGTGATGTTGATCAGAGTAAACATCAGGTGCTCTTAAGTTGTAAGACCACATCTATCTGTGCAATAAACTAGTCATCCTTAGAGAAAGAAATACAAAGTATTGTTAATGGTACTGTATAGTGACTGACTGTCAGAACCATATGGAACATGGATAATGACATAAAACAGTGACTTTGAAATGGTATTTTCAACAGTTGGTAGAAAGCAGGCCTTGGATAGGATAAAGAAGAGACTTATTTACGTAGATGTGGAATTAGGTCTGAGTGTCTTAGTTGTGGGTATTTATTATAATGTGATTACTGCTGTTGCCTCAAACTCAAGCTCGTTATGTTTTCAGTGCTTATAAAAGAGCTAGACATTACCAAAATTAAAGCAGTTTAAATAATATGATTTTTCTGGTGTCTTGAAGAATTGTAGCCCTGGAGGTAGCCTAGAAATATCATCTAGAAAAGGGTATTTTACCTCTTGATAAAAAGAAATTCTTTCAGTCTAAAGAAAACCAACACTAGTTTCAAAATACTTCCTTTACTTTGCAGTTCTTTAAGGCTCTCAAATGTTTGTTTAAACCCAGTTGTGCTAACAGTTTGACAGATAATATCTCTTAAGTAAAGATTAATCTGGTGTTTGCTGATTATTTAGGGGGAGATTGATTCTGTAGGATTATGAATCCAGACAGGATTTTGTGACGATCCATTTACATTATGAAAATAATTGCTCATGAATAAAGATTAAAATCAACAAAAGAATTGTATGTATTAGAACCTACACAATGGAGAAAGTAAAATAGTTTACTATGGCTGAGTTGTCTGTTACTTGCTGTGTATTCCAGTATCCTACCTTATAAATTTTGTTGCTAAAGTAACAACTCTGTAACTTTTTTTTTCCCCTTCAAATTAATAGTTCCGTACAAAGTCTTCTGGTGTTCATTTGGGTTTGTGGGTTCCATAGCCAGCCACATCTGGTTCTCTTGGAGTTGCATGAAAGTAATGTTATGGAGTTGATTGAGCCATACTTAGCACAAGTTTTCCTTATGGTTATTTTATTAAGAAATTATGGTGGAGGATTCTATGGTGAAAAGAAGAATCTTGGACTATGCTTATTCATTAAAAATTGCTAGTTACACTGAATCCTGGAGATACCAGGCTCCTTTAAGCAAAAACAGTTCCGAAATTTGTAGTAGCAGCACTATTTGTATAACTTAGTTTGGTGCACTAGCTTTGACATTGGGATTATATTTCGCTTTGGGCAAGCTGGAACCAAGGGTCTCTCCATGCCGGGACCTGGATTGTAGGTCAGATTGGCCCCCTTAACTCTTTGTACAGAAATGAAGGTAGTTTTACATTTTTAAATAGTAAAGTAAAGGCCCTCCCGTTGATCATCGATTTGCTTGAGTGGACCCAGTAACATCTCCATTGGAGACTTTGTTGTTACTGTGTTTGGCATATCGAATACGTCATGGGGAGCTTGCCAGGCTCTGCTGTGCGTGCGAGATACTCTCGGTAGCTTGCCGGGCTCTCCGAGAGGGGCGGAGGAATCGAACTCGGGTCGGCCATATTAGCTGCGTGCAAGGCAAACGCCCTACCGCTGTGCTATCGCTTCTCTCGGAGAGCCCGGCAAGCTACCGAGAGTATCTCGCCCACACGGCAGAGCCTGGCAAGCCCCCCGTGACGTATTGCCAAACACAGTAACAACAAAGTCTCCAATGGAGACGTTACTGGGCCCGCTCGAGCAAATCGATGAACAACGGGAGGGCCTTTACTTTACATTTTTAAATGGCTCCAGTTTTTTTGTTTTGTAACAGGTGAACATTTCTTCATGAAATTTAAATTTTAGTGTCGGCAAAATGTCGGCAAAATTTCTTGAAATAGTTATTTACTATGTTTGTTTGCCTGTTGTCTGTGACTGCTGCCAGACCCTGACAGCTTGAAGTATTTACTGTTTACCTGTCACAGAAAGTTTTCCCAAGAGAAAATGTCCAGTTTTCTGATGGCGTATTCTTAATCAGAGGTGATTAATATTCTTAATTATCCAGGTGGGTAATTAAAAGGGGAAATCGAGCCAGGTGATGAGAAGCTAGATGGCACTTTTCAATATTGACAACCTTAAAAAAAAAGAGAGAAGGAAAACAGTACAGACACCACTTTAAACTTAGTCTTGTGTCTTTCTGATGCATTGCATCTAGCACTTAATGTTGATGCAGTTATTATGGAGCTATTGAAACTTGAAGGGACCCTATACCTTGGATCTTGGTACAGCAGTCATTTCCCGGCCTCTCTATGGAAGAGTGAGTTGTTACAGAGCTCTCTGGAAGCAAGCCAGGATAGTTGGTTGCTCCAGATGACACAACCCAGGGTTTAAAAAAATGTACAGATAACATTATTTGATGTCATTTAGGTATAAACCTAAAATTGTGCAAGTATGTATGTATCTGACTTCATTTCTCCTTCATACGTGGAAAGCTCGGATCCGTGCCAGGCCAGTGATAACTTCAAGATAAAATTGAAATGGTTTGTTTTCATTTTTCCTAATGAAAAATGCCGTGCACCTCACAGCTGGCAGTCAGAGGTTGTGCTCAGGCACAGACTGTTTCCTGTCCCAAATGCCCAGTTGACTTTGTGGAGGCGGACTGAAATCAAGCATGAGTTAACAGTGCTCAGGGCAGCCCACCAGCTAGTCAGACCGACACTGATGGACCAGTGTCCTCCTCTGAATGCCTTCGAACAGAGGTTGGAGGCCTTTGCAGCTGAATACCAAAGAGAGTTTGTAAAGGGTTCTTTCCTCCAGTATTCGTTTCCATTTCAGGGAACATTTAGAACCTCTCCCCTCTGTAGGATACATCAGGCACCTGAGGAGATCCTAGAAAATCCCAGTGCCAGACACTTTTGTTTAGATCCTCTGAAATTTTGTTGAAAAATAGGCTCTCCCTGGGGCTGGAGTGATAGCACAGTGGATAAGCGCCCGTTTGCCATGCATGCAGTTGACCCGGGCTCATTTCCCAGCATCCCATATGGTCCCCCGAGCACCGCCAGGAGTGATTCCTGAGTGCAGAGCCAAGAGTAACCCTTGAGCATCACTGGGTGTGACCCAAAAAGCAAAAAAAGAAAAAAATAATAAAAAAGAGGCTGTCCCTGTGCATGGGGTTAGCATCCTGGGATCTATCTGGCCCACAGATAGAAAATAATACAGTGTACAGTTAGGTTAAGCATGTGTAACATGCACAGACTTGTTCCTTGTCGCTGTTCTCTAAACTGTAATACAGCAATTAATTGGATTAACTGTTGCACATAATCTGGAGGTTACATGAAGCATGTGGGCAGATGCACATATGTGAGGATATGACACTTTATATAAGGGGCTTAAGTTCTTGTGGGTTTGGGTTCTAGAACTATCCCTCTCAGATAACAGGACACATGTACTAATGACGAATGTTTAAAAGGGCCAATCATGATCACAACCATTCTGTTGTTCTTCGATTGC